TTGTGCAAGTGGAGGGCGTGCGCAAGTGCCACTTGCACATATGGAACTGCGTGCACACCTGTGTTGCCTGCCGCTCACACACCTGCCCCCTTCCAGGCTGCCAAGCTGGAAAGGTTGGGGACCACTGCCCTAAGTTATACAGGGCTTTTTCTTCTTTTTCTTCTGCCTTCTCTAGCAACGGTTTTTTCCCTACAAATATAGATATCCTCTTGTGTCTGGAGGGAAAAAGATTTCCCAGCCTGTGCAAAAGAGAGGAAAAAAGCAATGCTTTTTAAAGAACACATCAGATTGTTAAAACCCAGAGCAGAAAAATTATGCCTAATTTAACATCAGGGTTTTGTTAATTTTCCCTTCACTTGCAGAATCAGAAGCCGTAAGTGGTTTTGCTCTCACTTCAAGTCCTAAATAGCTTGGTGAGAATGTTAGAAGATTGGAGATGAAAAATCCCTGAGACGATTCTTGATTTATAATATGTTTATAAAGGCAGAGGCAACTTGGTCAGGAAAGATGGAATGAACAGAGGATAGGAGTTAATTCCACTCCTTCTAACTAAGAGGAAGGACTGAAGACTCCTTACTGTCCCTGCTAAGACTGGATTCAGTGTGAAAATTTATTTAAAAAAACAGAATATGATTATTCTGGGGGGGGGGGGTTCTTTTCTTTTTTTAAGCTTTTTTAGCTTTTGGCAGCAGCTTCTTTCAAAATGGAATTTTCTAACTGAGCTCTTCAGTAAATCATAATCTGTCAATGCCCTATTTTTATATAGCTTTATTGATTTTCCAAAGAAAAGTACAAAATTAAAAAATAAACTCTTAATGGCCTTGGAAATGTGGGGAGTTAGCAGAGTTGGCTAAATTGACTGCTTTGAGTAAAGAAAAAAAAAACACAACTACCTTTGTTTCTACTTGGAAACCACTTCTGGACTTTGTGCTTGAGGTGGAAAAAAAATGAAACTTTGATTTTGGGTTTTACTCAGTGTTTCTCAACCTTGACAATTTTAAGGCATGTGGACTTCAACTCCCAGAATTCCACAGCCAGCATCGCTGGCTGTGGAATTCTGGGAGTTGAAGTCCACATGCCTTAAAATTGTCAAGGTTGAGAAACACTGAGATAGAATTGTTGTTATAGAAATGGCTAGTTTATATGGTTATGTAAAAGTAAAAAGTTGAAGTTTGGTGTTATTGTCTTATTTTACTGCACCAAAGGGAGTCAGACGTCAATGCCTTTTTTTTTTCTTTTTCCCCTTTTCCCTACACTTTTCCTTTCCCTTCTCTCCCCCCTATTTTCCTACTATTTTTATATATTTTTGTATTTTATATTATAAACTAATAAAAAAGAGAATTAAACAAAAAAGGAAATGTGGGAAGTGTGGGGAAAGACTGTGAACTAAAGCAAATGTTGCAAGGGAAACCTTATATTTCAATTGAAATCCAAAATCTGGAAGATCATAGATTACCAGCTAGTACAGAGGTCTTCAAACTTGGCAACTTTAAGACTTGTGGACTTCAACTCCCAGGATTCCTCAGGGCTGGCTGAGAAATTCTGGGAGTTGAAGTCCACAAGTCTTAAAGTTGGCAAATTTGATGACCCTTGAACTAATATCTTATAATAACATATCACCAAACCTTTACAGCCTTCAGGTCAGAGTTATGATGATTCTTGAGCTTGACTAGCTGTTGGAGATCTTTGGACTTCCAAGTCTATCCCACCTTTGTGTTCAGTCATCAGGGCTGGCTGAGGAATTCTGGCAATTGAAGTCCACAAGACTTCACAAGACTTAATCACTAGATCAGGGGTCTTCAAACTTGGTCCTTTTATGACTTGTGGACTTCAACTACCAGAATTCCTCAGCCAGGCACGTTGCTGTGCCTCCTTCAAATCTTTATATAAAAGGGTCTTTTTGTATAACATGTCAATCTGTGTGATTTCTTTCACAAGGCTAGCATTCACACTTGGTTGATACATTTGTCGTTTTTGGTACAAGATTTCATTTCTCATATTTAGTACCCAATTACTCATAGACTTGAAACCTTCCTAATCCTATCTCATTGTCAGAAGTTTCCTGCTGTGTGCCTGTGGCTTGTTTGTCAGTTTCACAAGAAAGCTAGCAAAGAGAGGGGAAGCTTTGACAGTCTGGTGGATAATTTAATCAGTTCTAACTTTTGGTGGCTTGTTTCTGCATAGTTGGATTAATTTCTGGGTGGCTTGGTGTTTTAAAACATTATAAACAAATATGCATATTTGCTCAAAACATTAAGCCATACTGGATAATTAGCATGACCCTGGGGATGCTGTGATGGTCATAAGTACAAGGACTGGATGTAAGTCACTTTTTTCAGTGTCATTGTAATTTCAAAAGGTCACTAAATGAACAATTATAAGTTGCAGACTTTTTAATTTGAATGTTGTACTTCTCACTTTTAAGAATAAATCTATAGGTTTCCAAGTTAGAAAATTAATTAATTTAATTGTTTAACAATTAATCAGTGGAACAACCTACGTACCTCCAGAATCTGTGAATGCTCCAACACTGGAAGTCTTTAAGAAGAGATTGGACAGCCATTTGTCTGAAATGGTATAGGGTTTCCTGCCTGAGCAGGGGGTTGGACTAGATGACCTCCAAGTCCCTTCTATCATCATCATCATCATTATTATTATTATTAATAATAATATTGAAAGTCTGCTGGTTTATAGATCTCTCCAAGATTAGGAGACCTGAGCACAACTAAAGCTGATTTCAAAATCAGTGCATATGTATATTAATTCCAGGACATGTTTATAGCAAATTTAGGCAGTGTTGTGCTGTCCTGATGTTATAGACTGCAATACCCAAAACATTTTAGTGTTTAAAATTAGAGGGCCTCAAGATATTAATAAAAACATCTGGGCAGCAATAGATTTGCTTATTCCTTATATGGAATAAGAAACTGGTATAACAAAATGTGCACTTGTTATAGCTTTAGTCTGGCAAGATTCTGTCCATTAGGTTAAAACAAAGAATTGGACTCGATTGGATCTCATTGGGTTTGGGTCTGACAACCATCCCTTGTTGAACACACCCTGGTTGATTGATTGATTGATTTAATTAGGTGCATAGTTATACCATGTCTGCCTGTCCTGTTTCATTGTTATTTTTGCAATGCCAAAGTGGGAATGATCCCCTTCGTGGAAACCACTCTACTAAAAGCCCTTAATTAAAACAGTTTAGAAACCTCTAAAGTGAAACCACTTAATTAAAAGCTGTTTACAACAGCCCACTGAAATCATTTAATTAAAAGGTCTTAATTAAACCCATTAAATAAACCCAATAAAACCGACCTGACTAAGTCAAGAGAATCCCTAAAAGTTTGCCTTTCAAAGCATAAAACCTTTGCAACTCTGGACATAGGCAACATCACCATCCTAAGTTGTTCCACTTATTAATTGTTCTCACTGTGAAATAATTTCTCCTTAGTTCTAGGTTGCTTTTCTCCTTGATTAGTTTCCATCCATTCCTTCTTGTCCTGCCTTCAGGTGCTTTGGAGAATAGACTGACACACTATTTTTGTGGCAGCCGCTCAAATATTGGAACACTGTTATTATGTCATGTAGATGTCTTAATGAAACTACTGTTTACTTCAAATATAAAGGAAGTCTGTTGGCATTTCTTGGTAGCTGGACTAAGCTCATTCTCTGCATTCAAAGCAACTATATCATCAACATTTTATTTTTTGGATTTGTGTTGAGTTGTGTTACTTTTGCTTTCCTTTTACTTTCAGATCTCCCATGCTAGGAAAATGACATAATATTTGAGTAATTATATGACCTGATCAAATATAATTATTGGGATGGCCTTGCCACCTTGGGAATGAGCCTCACTCAATACACTACTCAAAAGTGCCTAGAATGATGTGGATGTGAAAATTTCAATTCCCAGAATTCCTCAGCCAGCACTGGGCATTCTGGGAGTCAGATGGCCCACATTTGGACCAGATAGAGCAGTGGTTCTCAACCTTTTAAATGCCGCAACCCCCAACCAGTCGTAAATCGAGGACTACTCAACCGGTCGTAAGTCGAGGACTACTCAACTGGTGCAGCACCGTTTGCAGAATGGGACTTTTGGCGGGCTCAGCAGGGCAGAGACAGCCTGGACAATTCCTATTGGCTTTTGAAAGCCAATAGAATTAGACCCTATTCAAGAGAGTCTATTCTATTGGCTTTCAAAAGCCAATAGAATAAAAGGGAGTAGCACAGCTAAGGAAAGGGGGGGGGGAAATGGCGGACTGCGTTGTTTGGCGACCCCCGTGAAATGGTCATTCGACCCCAAATGGGGTCCCGACCCCGGGTTGAGAACTACTGAGATAGAGAGTAAGGCTCCTGCCACTATGTATGTTGAGGAACATTTGAAATTTTATTATCCCAGTTCTGATTTTTTTTTTTCAAAAATTGTGGATTATGAGTAGATCCCAAACAAGCAACCGATAGAATTAAAGCCCATAATGGGCAAAGTCAGAGACAAAGTGGATGGGATTCTGCTGAAATCGAGTTGTGGTCTACATACAATACACCTTTTAGCCCTGTCAGCTGCTGCCTTGTGTTTGCTTATGCTTCACTGCAGCCTGTCATGAACTGTAGGGTGGGGGAATGAAGAGGGGAATGCTTTGGGAAATGAAAGTAAGTGCTGTATCTCCTCAAGATGCTGCCTCAAGATCACCCAGCTGGAAGAAGGAGGGAGCTGCATACCAAACTGCCCATTAGGAAAACATCTTGCCTGAACCAGATTGGTTACACTGGGGGGAGCAATGAGAGAGAGTTAAGGGAGGGAAGAGTAGAATGTAGGGATTTTGGCACACAATTTTCAGTTCCGGCTTTGCATTACACCTTTCTCAACAAATGGAGCCAAGGATTGGTTTTATTTAGAGGTTTCAGTCGTGGAAGTTCTGTCAAGCCCTTGCATTGATCTGTCAAATAATAAACGATCTCATGTTTAACCTTCCTGCTTTGTTGTTCTTCTCTTTTAGAATTGACCCATGATCTTGAAGTGAAAGAGTTGGAAGCCAAGCAGCAAGGTAAGCAAGAAGATAAATTTCTCCTTTTTAAATGAAATAAAAAACATAAACTAGGAATAATAATAATAATAATAATAATAATAATAATAGTAGTAGTAGTAGTAGTAGTAGTAGTAGTAGTAGTAAAGTTGGAAGGGACTCTGGAGGTCATCTAGTCCAACCCCCTGCTCAGGCAGGAAACCCTACACCATTTCGGACAAATGGCTGTCCAGTCTCTTCTTAAAAACTTCCAGTGTTGGAGCATTCACTGCTTCTGTTGGCGGGTTGTTCCACTGGTTAATTGTTCTCACTGTCAGGAAGTTTCTCCGTAGTTCTAGGTTGCTTCTCTCCTTGATTAGTTTCCACCTGTTGCTTCTTGTCCTGTCTTCAGGTGCTTTGGAAAATAGCTTGATTCCCTCTTCTTTATGGCAGCCCCCGAGATATTGGAATACTGCTATACTACAGTCTACACTGGCTTGAATCCATTATGGAAAAGGCATTGGAAGTTTGATTGGATCCAGCATGGCTCTTCTTTGAGATTATGCTAGCAATTGAGCTATTAGCTACTACTATACTCCCTCTTATCCTAACAAGGTAGATGTGAGGATGGAAAAGAGAGAGAACTTGGGTGTTCAGTAAATTGTAAGCGCAACAATACTTCCAGCGTGAACATATGGGAAACCTTTGTTCCTTTAAAATACAGTTTACTAGAACAATGGGTGTGAAGGGGATTGTTAACAGGAGTCAGTCTCCCAATTGCTTTTCTCTCTTCTCCACTCCCTTTCATTCAAGTCTCCAACTATAGCCGGTAGAGGGTGCCAAATGACCAGGCACGTGTGATATTGTTCAGGTGGCCTCTTTCCTCATAGCATCTTCCAGACTTGGAAGGTTCCCAGTTGAACGTTGTCCTGTTCCAGCAGCTGGTTTGGTTTAGTTTAGTTTCATGTTATTCCAGTGGCGTGAAATTGTGACTTAGTCTGGAAAGCCTAAGCAAGCTGGCCTTGCAGCTTTCAAAATCATCTCAAGATCTTCCCTCCTGCTGTAGTAAAATAGTAGAAAAAAGGTAGCCCAGCTCTATGATCCACTTCAGGAAGCATACAAAAGCTACTGTATATAAACAGGAGGCAAAGCCCACAGCCACTAGCTCGATGTTATCCTGTTGGGTAATGAAACATCTGCAAGCAAACAACCACGTTCAGGGAGCACCAAGGACACCAAACTGAGAGTTTCCAATCATCTTAATAGTTGTAATTTTAATTGTATTTACTTTCATGCTCTTTTTCTATGGATGTATATCATCCAAAGTCACATTTGTCTGAGCTGATTAGCTATATAAATGTCATATGTAAATAAATAAATCATGTGTATTATTATTATTATTATTACTTTTCTTCCAAGGAAGAATAAATATTTTGACTCAACCAGTGCAGCATTTGTAAGCAGTGTCCTAAAACGTATCTTCCTGTCAAAAGAAAAACAAACAAAATTAAGTTTTGTTAACAGCATATTTATGTATTCATTCGTGGATTCATTTGCAAGATTTATAAACTGTTCAATCCCTTAATGGCTCTGGATGGCTTACCGTACAGCAGAGGTTCTCAACCTTTTTAATGCCACGACCCCCAACCCGTCGTAAGTCGAGGACTACTCAACCGGTCATAAGTCGAGGACTACTCAACTGGTGCAGCACCGTTTGCAGAATGGGACTTTTGGCGGGCTCAGCAGGACAGAGACAGCCTGGACAATTCCTATTGGCTTTTGAAAGCCATAGAATTAGACTCTATTCAAGAGAGTCTATTCTATTGGCTTTCAAAAGCCAATAGAATAAAAGGGAGTAGCACAGCTAAGGAAAAGGGGGGAAAAATGGCGGACTGCGTTGTTTGGCAACCCCCGTGAAATGGTCATTCGACCCCAAATGGGGTCCTGACCCACAGGTTGAGAACCACTGCCGTACAGCAAGACAATAAAACATCCATTCAAACAGACCTGAAATCATAACAGATATAACAAAGAAATTAAATCAGTAGTTTTAAACTAGAGGAAGAAGGAAACTTGGTTCACCTTCAATGGTCATTTGTTTCAAACTATTTCTATCCATGTTTCTCTGAAAATAAAACTGGGTCTTATACTATATTTTGCTCCAAAAGACGCATTAGGGCTTATTTTCCAGTTAGGGCTTATATTCAGGGAAATACGCTACTAAATGCGTCCGTGTGGCTGACCATCTTAAGTGGGGCTTATTTTGGGGGTGGGGCTTATATTATGAGCATCCTGAAAAATCATGCTAGGTCTTATTTTTCGGTTGGGTCTTATTTTCAGGGAAACATGGTGGATGTATTCAAGGGCTATCCTACAAAAAAAAATCTTTTGCAAAACTCTGTAGTAAAGGTGTAGTCTTCCACTTATGACCACACTGAAGCCCAAAATTTCTGTTGTTAAGTGAGACATTTGTTAAGTAAATTTTACCCCATTTTACGATCTTTTTTGCCATAATTGTTAAGTGAATCCCTGTGACATGGTTCCAAAAGAAAGCAGATTTTCAAAGAATTTTGAGGCTTATTCCTCTAAAAGAATCTTTTATTATTCTGCATAGCTTCGGCACTAACAAAGTTAAGCCAGAAACTGAATCCTCCCTCCCCCAAGCATCTGTAACAAAGCATAACTCACTCCTTCATTCTACAGTCATCAATCACATTCTCCAATTAATGTGAAGTGTGAGGTGCCCCTCCCGTTGCAGCTGAGCTGACCTTGGCCACACTGTGCCCAGACATTGTTATGGTTAACTTGCATACTTTCCCATCCCTTAGACTACTACTATCTGCCGTAACTCTAGAAATGCTATACGGGCTAAATAAAACAGGTTTGCTTCTTCATATATGGCAAGTAAGAACATCCGATGTTAGCAGTCTTGACACCCTGCAATTGTTCAGTTAGTGACATGGTTGCTAAGTGAATCTGGCTCCCCCATTGACTTTGCTTGTCAGATGGACGCAAAAGGGGATCACGTGACCCTGGGACACTACAACCATCCTAAATCTGAACCAGTTGCCAAGCGTCTGAATTTTGATCACCTGAACATGGAGTCGTAAGGGTGAAAAAAGGCCATTTTTTTCAGGGCCATTGTAAATGTGAATGGTCACTAAATGAACTGTTGTAAGTTGAGGACTACCTGTATTGAAGCAAGATATTGCCTCTTCCAGGTAGAGAGGTCCCAGATTTATCCGCCAAAGCTGCAGTAAAACCATTCACGCACACACGTGTGCCAACCCCCTAATTCTACATAGCTCCAGTGTCAGTGGCAGATGCAGGAAGATTCTTAATTGCAAACCTCTTTTTCAAGGTGGGCAACCATCCAGAACAGATGTCTCTCTCTTGCTCTCCAAACAAACAGGGAGCAGCTCAGAGCAAAACAAAACAAAACCAAAAAAAAAACTGAATTCCATTTCCTTTACATTTGCATTATCTTCAAATTACATTTCATGAAATGGTAACCCTCCAGTCATGCAGCCAGTCATTTTTTCTCTCTCTCTCATGAGTCACACAAGAAATTACAACTTGGAAACCACGCCCAAAGCTTCAAAAGATTGCAATGAAGCCCCAAACAGGCTTTCTTAAGCTTGGCAACCTTAAGACATGTGGACTTCAACGGGCTGGCTGGAGAATTCTGGGAGTTGAAGTCCACACATCTTTTTTTTTTATTGAAAAGTTTTATACAAATACATTATTACAATACAATAACCCTCCCTCCCCCCCACCCCAACCCTCCCCCCCTCACTTCCCAGAGCTGATTACAAGGTTAAAAATAAATAAATAAACAAACAAACAAATTCTAACTAAGCTTATCCAACTATACCAATAACCAAATCCCTAAAATACTTTAACTCAAATACAAACAACTCCCAGTTTAAACTATAAGTTAATCAAAAACTAAATAATACTTTCTAATCCCATATTAACATCTTAAAGTTGCTAAAATTGAGAAACACTGGCCTGCACCTTCCTATTGTGCATTTCTGCTTTCTGTTGCAAGAAGTAGAAATCAGATCAGAAAATCAAGGCGAATGAAATTTGGAAGATCTGAACAATGGGATCTCGTGGTTTCAACCCTCTCCACAAAGTCGAAGTTTTACTTGGGCATGCCAGGTTCCGCCCTCAGCCTCGGGGCAAAAGGTGAGGCTGTTAGTGCAGCAAAGGAGGTGTGGAGAGCATCAGATGGTTTAATGAGAATGGAATGCTGATGGAAGACAGTCCTAGCAAGACAAACCGCGGCTTCCCAAGGAAGCCATCTCTGGCCACGCCTGGCTCACAAAAACATATCCAGCTGGTCCCATCTTCTTTTTAGCTCCTTGGGTCAGAACAGAACACAACAGAATAACTGAGTTGAAAGGGACCTTGGAGGTCTTCTAATCCAACCCCGTCCTCAAGCAATAGACCCTCTAGCATTCCAGATAAGTGGCTGTCCAGTCTCTTCTTTAAAAGCCTCCAGTGATGGAGTAGCCACAACTTCTGAAAGCAGGCCGTTCCACTGGTTAATTGTTCTCACTGTTAGGAAGTTTCTCCTTAGTTCTAGGTTGCTGACTTCCAGAAGTGGTAGAAACTAGATTTTAGATTGTCACCTCAAATTTCTGATCGAGACTCCATTCTTCAAGCTTCTGTAGCCATCTCAGTAGTAGGTACTTGGTTTAATAGTAGTAACCGTGAGAAGGCGCTTGGAGTTCTAGTGGACAACTGCTTAAATAAGAGCCAGCAATGTACTGCAGCTGCCAAATAAGCCAATGCAGTCCTAAGTTGCATTAACAGAGGGAAAGAATCAAATGAAAGCAAATATACGTGTTCCAGGATAGTAGTTCAGGATCCGATCTGAGTCAGTCACCGGGACCACAGGTTTAGTCTTCCAAGCTTTTGGACTTGTGCTGAAGCCCATTCTCAGGGAAGCTCTTTCTCGCTAGAACAGCGGTTCTCAACTGTGGGTCGCGACCCCTTTGGGGGTCGAACGACCCTTTCACAGGGGTCGCCTAAGACCATCGGAAAACACATAATTACATATAATGCTTTAATTATGTTCAATTTGTAACAATGAAAATACATCCTGCATATCAGATATTTACATTACGATTCATAACAGTAGCAAAATTACAGTTATGACGTAGCAATGAAAATAATTTTATGGTTGGGGGTCACCACAACATGAGGAACTGTATTAAAGGGTCGCGGCATTAGGAAGGTTGAGAACCACTGCACTGGAACATATGAAAATGTGCAGATAGAATCTATATATGGACAGAATCGAGATCATGTGAATGTTAGTACCACTTTATAATGACTTTGTAAGGCCACACTTGGAATATTGCCTCCAGTTTTGATTGCCACTATATAAAAAAGATATTAAGATGCTAGAAAGAGTGCAAAGAAGAGCAACAAAGATGATTAAAGGACTGGAAGCAAAAACACATCAAGAATGGTTGCTGGAATTGGGTATGTCTAATTTAATGAAGAGAAGGGCTATGGGTGACATGATAGCAGTATTCCAATATCTAAGGAGCTGCCACAGTGGGGGTAAAACCTATTCTCCAAAGCACCTGAAGGCAGAACAAGAATCAATGGATGGAATCTAATAAAAGAGAAAAGGAACCTAGAAATTAGGAGAAATTTTCTGACAGCGAGAACAATTGATCAATGGAATGGCTTGTCTCCAGAAGTTGTCGGTGCTTTGGAGAATAGGTTGACCCCTAGAAGACTAGACCAGAAGACCTCCAAGATCCCTTCCAACTCTTGTTATTCTTTACAGTATCCTGGGCATATGATGACAGAATGACTCAGCATTTTCTAAGTTCCTAAATGGAACTGCCCCCTGTTAGGCTTAAAGAGAGAGGAGGATAAAGGATGAATTAGCATATTTATTATTTTGCTGACATCTATGGAAATGGCTGACTCACTGCACCAGCCTTCCCTTGGGAACAGTTTTCATCTTCCAGCATTAACAGCTCTGTGGTTTCTTAACCTACATCGTCTGTTCTGGGCCTTTCTTGACTGTTTTCTTCTGACACCGTGAAAAGTGTCTTTGTACAACTGTTGAAACCATTCTTATGGGTCCCTATGTCATAAGTGAAGAAATGATGTCATTAAGTGGTTGGGTGAAGAATATATTAAGGAAGGAAAAAGGGAAGATATAGACTGGAACACCATTTGAGCATGTCTGAGCAATGGTAAATTCTGTGGCATGGATATAAATCCAGAAATTTGGCTTGTGCATTAGAAAGCCTTTTTTTAAAAATGAAAAAAGGTAGCATGATAGATCTCTGCCTAGTTCTTGGACATACCTAGAGCTTGGCTGGCTGAGGAATTCTGGGAGCTGAAGTCCACAAGTCTTAAAGCTGCCAAGGTTGGAGACCCCTGATCTACAGGTAGTCCTCAACTTATGACCACAACTGAGCCCAAAATTTCTGTTGCTAAAAAAAGACAGTTGTTCAGCGAACCACTGCAGTTGTAAAATTAGTAACACAGTTGTTAAGTGAATCTGGATTCCCCTATGACTTTGCTTGTCAGAAAGTGGCAAAAGGTGATTCCATTACCCAGGGATGCTGCAACCGTCATAAGTACATGCCAGTTGCCAAGTGTCTGAATTTTGATCATGTCACCGCAGGATGCTGCAACGATTGTGTGAAAAACAGTCGTAAGTCACTTTTTTTCAGTGAATGGTCGCTAAGCTAAGTTAAGGACTACCTGTATTCCCTTCCAGAGATTGTCAATCCCTATCTGAGACCGATGAAGGTCCTGGTGAATGTTGAACTCAAATCTGCTCTTTTGTCTTTCCTTTGTCGCTTGCATTAGACGTAATAGACCAGGAACTGGAAGAAAAGTGCAAAATCATGGAAGCCCAATTGGAAGAGAAAGAGAAGGGCAATTTGGAATTGCATAAAGAGCTGAGGCATAAAGAGAGCTTGGTGGCTGCCCTCCGATCCAACCTGAGGAACAAAGAAAGGAGATTCTTGGAAGAGCTCAAGCGGAGAAGCCACCGAGTGACCGTCCTCAACACGGAGCTGCAGAAACAGACGGAGGCGGCCGCTTACCTCTCCTTCCAGCTTCACTCAAGCAAACAAAAACTTCACGGCACCCGGCAGAAAAGCGCAGCCCAGCCCGAGAAACCTCCGGAGAAACCCTCCGTCCCCCAACCCAGCGCTGAGTCTAGGCCCAAAAAAAGGACTCAGAAGTCTCACACCCGGCGGCAGGCGAGCAGCGCTTTCCATTGCAAAGGCGCCGTCAAGGACATTGTGGCTCGCGAGCGGCTCGGCAGCTTCGAAGACCTCGAACCCATGCCCGACCCGGCTCTCTTTTTATACACCACACGACCCCACCCTCCGTCCCGTCGTCAGAAACCAGAGCGCAGCACGTCGGATTCGTCCTCCAAGGAAGGCCCTGAGCAGGGGAACCGGAAGAGCGGTTGGAAAAAGTCCTTTCAGCCTCTCGCCGAAGAACCGGCAGCAGCTGTGAGTCACGTCAGGACTTTGGGTCACCGTCGGGGCCCCTCTTCCAAAGGGGAACCGCAGAAGCAAAAGAGCACTAGCGCTCACCCTGCAAAAGACTGAAGGAGCAGAGGGAAAGCTATGGCACCCTTTTGAAACCGTCTTGAGCACATCCGTCAATCAAGGGCCCACGAGGCAGGGAATGCACCACTCCTAAAGCCATTGAGATGCCATCATCTTGGACTGTTACCTTGCTTAAAATTCCCACATGCTGTAGCTATGCATCCCCTGGGAATGGCGTCAGTAAGAGTGGACTGACCCAGCGCCAGGAGGGCCGTGGAGTCATTGGCTGAGGTTACCATAAGCAACCTTGCTTCATAATTTGGCAAAAAAAAAAAAAAAAAAAGAGAGAGTTCCGAAAAGGGAACTTCAAGTTTTTTGTGCCTTGCTTGCTAGTTGTGGTTTTCCTTTTTTTTTTTTTTTTTCCTTTCTTTCTTTTTTTTTGAACTCGGATGGAAGTCTTGCCATCGGCATTTGGGGAATCTGGCTTTCATCAGCGAGAACAAAAGCCAGCATCGGGGTTTCCCCTAAGCTGAATGTGTGTAGTTTACCCCTCTCTCTTGGATGTGGTTTCGTTTAGTTTGACATTGCCATGCTTAGAATATCGTCCATTGCTGGAGAAGATGGCCATGAAGGGTGAATGTGAGTGTTTGGGGGGGGGGGACATGGCTTTTCTAGGATATCGGTTGACTCATTGAATTTATTTGCCGCCCATCTCATAACAAAACAATTCTGGGCGGCAAATAAATAGACAGAAAAGCTTGGGTATTTTAACATCTGTGTTTTGAGCAAAGCAGGGATGTGCAGTCTCAGGCCTAGGGTTACAATAGTTGTGGACACCTTCAATGTCACTGCTCGAGGTGCTCAAAACTTGCCACCAGCTTGTAATTTTTACAGCAGCTGAAATGGGAAATGATTAAAGCCATGGAGAGAAATCGTATGAACTGTGTGCAATGCCATAAATTAAAATTAGTTAAAGGTAGAATATAAATTTAACTAAATTGACTTTGGTTTGGGAATTTGCCTGGGAAATCCCCAGTTTTTAATTCTCTTTCCCTTTTTACAATGCAGCCACATTCAAAAACCAAGTCCAGCCCTTGGACCAAAAACTATTGTGCGTCCCTAATTTGTAGCACAATACAGGTAGTCCTCGACTTATGACCACAGCTGAGCCCCAAATTGATATTGTTAAGCCAGTCATTTGTTGAGTGAGTTTTAACAGCCACAGCTGTTAAGTGAATCACTGCAGTTGTTAAGTTAATAAGATGGTTGTTAAGTGAATCTGGCTTCCCCGTTGACTCTGCTCGTCAGAAGGTCGCAAAAGCTGATCACGTGACCACCGAACACTGCAACCATCATAAATAGGAACCAGTTGCCAAGTGTCTGAGTTCTGATCATGTGACCCTGGGGATGCTGCAACAGTTGCAAGTGTGAAAAATGATCCTAGGTCACTTTTTTCAGTGCCGTTGTATCTTTGAACGCTCATTAAATGAATGGTTGTAAGTCGAGGACTACCTGTATTCTAAGGGGGACGTCTAAGGTAGGGAATCTGAACATTGGGAATTGCCTTCCCAGTCCTCCCATTTGCCATTCCTATTCTCCTTAGAAATTTCATCACTGGTCTTCCTAAGATGGATCTGAATCATTGTTTTTTTTTAAAACAAAACAAAACAAAAAATGAAACCAAAAATAATGACAGGGTTTTAAATTTCCAGACCTCGAGCATTTTTCTAGCTTGGTGGTCTAAATTCGTGTTTCCGTTGCCATCCCTGGGTGTTGATCTCTTCTAATTCATATCAAACTTTTCCAACTCGGCACTTTGCAAAGCATTTGGGGGAGGGGGGAGCAGTTCTCTCAACTGCCGGTCTGCACAATCCAAGTGATGGAAATTCGGCTGGAATTTGGTGGGAGGATGTTGATATGTATGTATATAAGCTTACGGGTAGTCCTCTACTTATGACCACAGTTGGGACCAGAATTTCAGTTGCTAAGCAAGGTGATTGTTAAGAGAGGCGCACTAGATTTTTATGATCCTTTTTGACACGGTTGTTAAGCAAATCATTGTAATTGGTAAGTGAATCATGCAGTCGGTAAATGAATCCGGCTTCCCTCGTTGGCTTTGCTTGTCCGAAACCCACCAGAAAGGTTGCAAATGGCCATCACTTGATCCCAGAACACTGCAACCATCGTAAATATATGCCTGCTGCTAACTTTTCAAATTTTGATCACCTGACTGTGGGGATCCCAAAGGTGCTTTTTCACGAGGCAACTGGACTTCCTTGTTTTTCTTTGAAGGCGTTTTGCTTCTCATCCAAGAGGCTTCTTCAGCTCTGACTGGGTGGTGGGGGAATGGAGGGATTCATAGTCCTTGTAGACAGCTGGTCATTTGCATTCTTTTAGAGCAGGGGTCTTCAAACTTGACCCTTTTATGACTTGTGGACTTCAATTCCCAGAATTCCTCAGCCAGGCACGCTGGCTGAGGAATTTTGGGAGTTGAAGTCCACAAGTCAAACAAGGGCCAAGTTTGAAGACGCCTGTTTTAGAGAGTAATTGAGGCCACTTGGAGGTTTGTCTGTGTCCTCAGGGTCACAGATAATTTCCTTTTAGCAGTTCCAGAAGGCTCCACACCCATTTGCACCACTCAGGTGACCTTGATGGCACAAGTGGTCTCAACGACTCTCTAAAAGAATGCAAATGACCAGCCGTCTGCAAGGAGTATGAATCCTTCCATTCCCCACCATCCAGTCAGAACTGAAGAAGCTTCTTGGATGAGAAGCCAAACATCTTCAAAGAAAAATTAGAAAGTCCATTTGGCTCATGAAAAAGCATCTTTGGGATAACTATGACCTGGATGAGTGAGAATCTCCATAGACCGTGGGGATGCTACAATGGTCAAAAATTTGAAAACCGGTTGTAATTCACTTTTTTCAGAGCTGTTGCAACTTTGAATGGTCACTAAATGAATGATTCTAAGTCAAGGACTACCGGTATGCAGAGGAGAAGGGGTAACTAGTGAAATTGCACAGAATTTGGGGAAAGTGAATGTAGAAGAAGCAATGAGCTTCATTCTAGGGTGGGGGAATCTCATTCTGTTCCACAGAATTCCAGGATGGATGGATTTGGTTCTCCAGATCTATTTATGGTTTGAGATATTTTTTTAGAAAAAAAATGTCTGAATGACAATCAAGATAGGCAGAAGGATATGCCATTGGCCTTTGTTTATGACAGAGAAGGAGCAACCAGACATTATTATCACTGTTGGTTCCCGACACAGTCAGCCAGATGTTTAGACCAGATTTGGCATTTTTATCCCACCTATTAAGTCCTATCAAGGACCTGGGATAGGCAGATGTGGATGTTTTATGGTATTATTATTATTATTATTACTATTATTATTACTATTATTATTATCCAATTTATTTGCTGCCCTTCCCGTGATTCAAGAGAACTTTGAACAATGTCAAGCCAAGAAAGCCTAAAAATAGGTCTATACTTTAAGGATAGAATCATGGGTGTATTTCCTTTGTCTTCTTCCAAACTGGTGCAATTTGAGGCCGTAATCCCAAGTGCTCTTAGCCTGTAGATTTCTCTATAGCTGCCTCTCATGTGGGGAAAAAGAGAAAACTAGGAGATATAAATGATTGGACAGAAGGAAGGAAGGAAACCATTGAAACATGAGTTGAGTCTGCAACGAAAATGTTGCCGTGCAGAGCAGTGTTTCTCAACCTTGGCCATTTTAAGATATGTGAACTTCAACTCCAGAATTCCCTAGTCAGCCATTTTGGGAGTTGAAGTCCACACATCTTAAAATGGCCAAGGTTGAGAAACACTGATGTAGAGCACTCCTATTGAGAATCCCCACCAGCCAATCAACTAGATCAGCGGTTCTCAACCTGTGGGTTGCGACCCCATTTGGGGTTGAACAACTATTTCACAGGGGTCGCCAAACAACGCAGTCCGCCATTTTTCCCCCTTTTCTTTAGCTGTGCTACTCCCGCGTGGGGCCCGGGCTACTCCCCCTTGTCAGCTATGCCTCGGCCGGCGCAGGGGGCGGCACCACGCATGCGCGGTGCTCCCGGGCAGGGAAAGTCCTCGACTTATGACCGGTTGGGCAGTCCTCGACTTACAACCGGTTGGGTAGTCCTTGACTTACGACCGGTTGGAGGTCGCGGCATTAAAAAGGTTGAGAACCACTGAACTAGATCGTGTTCCAGTATACCCCATTCACATTCCCTTTCCCTATGGTCTTTATTTGAGCAATATGGGGGTGTGAATTACTGTATTATTATTATTACCATGTTATTATTAATAGTAGTAGTAATAGCAGTAGTACAGGTAGTTCTCGACTTACAACCACAGTTGGGACCAGAATTTCCATCGCTAAGCAAGGTGAAAAGGGAGTTGCAACCAAGTTTACAATCTTTTTTGCCACAGTTGTTAAGCAAATCACCGCAGTTGTTACATGAATCATCCAGTTATTAAACGAATCTGACTACCCCTCCTTTGACCTCACTTGTTGGAAGCTGGCTCAGAAAGTCACAACTGATGATCACGGGATGCTGCAACTGTCATAAAAACCTCCAAATTTTGATTATGGGTCCAAGGGGACGTTGTAAGTGTGAGGGTGGTTATAAGTGTGAGGGTGGTCATAAGTCACTTTTTTCAGTGCCGTTGCAACTTTGAAGGTCTGTAAACATGTGATTGTAAATCAAAGAATATCTCTAGTATTAATTTCGTTAAAACCGAGGCTTTGTTAAACCCCTTAAAGTGCATACGTATCCACCATTCGGACCACACAAGGACTGGTGTTCAGGAATTGAATCTTCCAATTAACCTACTGTGGTTTGTTACAATGCTTTCCACACGCACACACTGCATGAAAAAGCCCGGTGCTATGATTCTCAAGACTAATTCACACCTTCGTTCATTCACTTGAATATTCTTTTTTTTTTCAAGTGAGAAACAAAGAATATGTTGTCTGGAGGGAGCAGGAGTATATGTCCTTCATATATCTTTTTTAGAAGGAGACAGCGAGGTAGAATTCTCTAGTATGCACGCTCTACTCACTCCATGCTATGTATGATCTTCCTAGGTATCAGTTTTATTGCATTCATAGGAGTCTTGCCATCAGTGACGGATGCACTTTTGTTAAAAGTAAGGACTTTGTAATAACGACTCAAAGTGGTTGGGACTGTAGCAACCTACTACTAGGTTACTGTTAAGTTACTACTGGCTACTAAGATAGAGACATGCCATATATAAAACCCCCAATACCTCTCACATGTCCAAAGTCTTATAGAGCAGGGCTTTTCAACCTTTTCACCCATTGTACCACTTTTAGGATATGGCAACATCCGAGTACTGCCTAGCAAGGTGTCAAAAACTTGATGACCCTCCCCCAAAAAGGAAAAAAGTGATAAAATACAGGTAGTCCTCGACTTACAACAGTTTGCTTAGTGACTGTTCGAAGTTACAATGGCACTGAAAAAAATGCCCCCCAAGCCACAACCAAGCAAGACACCTGCCTGCCCACCCAGCGGTGCTCTTCCTCCTGTCCAAGGTTTTCATTGTTGTGAGCATTTCTGTTGAGGATTGGCAGTGGGAGTGGGGTGGGGGGGGGTGTTTGGTTTTTATTCCCCCCA